AACATCGACGCCCCTGCATGTATGCGAGAGTATGTAACAATAAATCGGCCGAGTTTACAGTTACACTGTGTATGAGTACAGGTATATACATGTCCATCTCGATCTCGTACCGATCATCTCTCCCCAGCCCCTATTAGATGTACGGGATGTACCTACGTAAATAGAGTACATTGTTTTCTTTTCTTTCTTTCTGTACATATTATATACTACTGTTTTACAACGTTATATTTGTGCAATCGCCATAATATATGTATACATACATGTACATTTGTATGTTTGGCGAATGAAAGTTGTTTATTTATTGCTGGTTCACGAGAAACCCGGAAGTGAGGAGGATTATCGGGCAACTTTTCGGCGTTCGGCTCTTTCAGCGAAACAAGGGATGATCCTACAATATGTACCTCGTACGAGTGTCAATGAGACAAATTAATGTCATGTTCTCGCGGCAATTCGCAGCAGAGATAGTATGTACTGGACCGCAAACACATGAGGGCGAAACCTGACGGAAATCGTTATCGCATCCCATACCGATCTATTGCCGATTCACGTGTACCGCGTAACGATGCAAAAAAAGGGGCAGTTGCGTATGAAAGTTTCAACCTTCCTCCCTCATTCTCCTCCTCGATCTCGGCAACCTGCAATTCTTTACCGCCGTATATTTATACACGAGACACGCGTATACATATTATTGGCGCTTCCACTCTATGGGACTCGCATCTATATTTCACAAAGCCAACGCCTACGCACGAGAGCCACGGGTCATCGGCCGCCCTCCCGATAATTCCTTCCCTACGTGTGTATGTGCTGCTTCCCTCCGTCGAGAGCTTTCTTTTCGGGCGGAAAAGCTTATAATTTACACGCACGCTAGCCGGGGCTCGGGGAAACAGAGTCTCGAGGTCGCGTCCGATCGATCGTGCACGTGTATACGCGTCGCGCTCGCACACATGCGTATATATACACAGAGGGATGTGCTCGCCCGAAACGGGGTTAGCTATTTTTTTTTTTTTTTTCTTCTTCTTCTTTTTTTGCTCGCTATAAACCAGGGGATCAGCCTCGTAAGATCGTCCGGTTTGTCTTGGTTGCGTGACAACAACGAGTGCACAAAATCTAAATGCAGAGAAAAAGTAGAAAAACAATGGCGATAAACGGGAGTGAAATTGATCGATGCGCGCAAATTATATTTACACACACACACACATGATAATTGAATATACAAGTTCTTTGACCTTCCTCTTCCCCCCTCCCTGCCCCACATGTGTGTAACATGTACACACGAGCTAGCAGCTTATCACGTCATTCCGGGCACATATATATATTATTACGTACACGAGCGGCTGTCAATTGATTCTCGTGCAAAAGTACAAAAAAAAAAAAAAAAAAAAAAAAAAAAAAAAAAAAAAGAGAAGGGGGTCGAACGCTGACACGCGCGCATATTGTACACGAGAGCACACACGCGTTAGTTGCGAGCCTCTGCAGCTTATCAAGTGTGTTCAGGGGGGGCCACGCATTATACGTATATATATATAAGTACGCGCGCATGCGAGAACAGGGAAAAAAAACAAAAAACAAAGTAGTATAGGTGTCTCTTTTTCCGCGTTGGTGATAAGATCGCGCCATACGTAGTCCCAAGGTGGTTGCGCGACTTTGGATCCACCGTGGTGATAATGTTGTATGCAAGCGCGCATACTAAGGTATTCCCCGTCGCTTTCGACGATGACGCTATATATGTGGGCCCAAAAAAACGTTGAAAAAAAAAGGTCCCCGTTTTGGGTAATGACAGCGTCTAATATAATGGTAACTTTGGCGCTCGTGCAGTAAAACAAAAAAAGAAAACATACAGCAGCGCAGTATTGTACTGTACAATGTATATGTGTTCTTTCTACTTCGAAGATCACGTATGATATACCGATGACAATTGATACAAATGCACGGATCGATGCAACGCCAACGCGTTGAGTCCCCACGCGGGGTTTATACATTTATTCGTATTGGCGTAAGTAACACCCGTTGCTGGGAGGAAAACTTACTCGTTAATTATACACACATATACTAATTTACTTCTATACCTTACCTTAATTGCTTATACCTGTTACTTTACACTGGGTTTTATTGTTTCGACATTTTATGCAAATGTATCCACAAGTAAACGTGTAATACGTATTTAAGTATGTATTATTATGTATATACATATACGTTTGTAAGTGTACATCTGTATAGCTTTAAACTCCGCCAACAATGAAAACGGGAGTGAAAAAAAAAAAAAAGAAGATTTTCTTAGATGCCCACCTCCGTCATTGTCCTTGTATCGCTTACATCGCACGCGTATCGCGTTGCCGCGTTATAAGCTTCTTGGACTTCTCGGCTTTCCGACTTTCCCCCGTTATGTTATATGTTACCTTCACGCGTACATGCATCACGAGCCTTTTATTATTCGGCTTAGGAAATCAAGGACGACAGAGAGGGGAGTAAACGAACCGTGCGGTGATGACAGCGGCAGGTGTCTTCCTCGAGGCGCACATTGGAATATATATATACACGTGTATATATTATATACCAGTCCTCTTTTTCTCGACAATCCGTACCATCTTTCTTTTGCTTGTCGTGGATTTCCATCTAATACGCTTTGGGAAATAACAAAAAATCCCGATATTATACTTATCGACGTGATATATATTATATGCTTATACGTATAATGCAAAACTTGTAAACTATGCACCTATTTGTATATATATTTCTGCAAATATCAGTCGGCGGTTCGTACCTGAACTCTCGATTACCTAATGGCTCTTTTGCTCAACTTCTGTATATTATACTCGCAAGAACTTTCGACTTTTCTTTCAATAGATCATCGATCAGTGGATACCCTATAAGTACCGGTCAGTCTGATTGTGGGCCCAAATTGCCAGTCACTCTCGATCAGAGCAGTATATACTTACAACATCGTACAAATGTGCCTTTGTACCACCAGCATCTTCGTAAATTTGCATACACCTATACGTGCACCACCAATAGCAACCGCGTCTATAAACTTACGTATGTCACGAGCCTACATGTCGCGATATATACTTGTGCATACAAAGGGGGCGCATGACTTGAAAAAAAAGGGTTACAAAGGATTGGTACTTATAGGATCGCATACAGTACATGTACAGCAATATCGGCGAAAGGAAACCTTCTCCGATGGTAGCGCGTGCAACACAGCACAAATGGCACCTTATAATATGTATTATATCGTGTTACCCGTATGCATGTAGTAGAGCTCGCTCATCAAGTATGCGCGCGGCCGCTCGAGCATCTATATAAATACGCACATCCCGAAAAACACGCGTACATAGTTTCACGTCACATGTATGTGTACACAAGTATTACGGCTCGGGTCAATTATAAGGCCGTAAAAAACGCGATCCCAGCCCTGGCGGTGGGATGGCCTACTTACCCGCCGAGCTATGTACAATGGTGCAGCGCGTTATGTAAATGCGTATGACAGAAGAGCTGAAAGGAGCCCTATTGCGGAGGGGGGGGGGAAGCCGAGGCAGAAGGGGTGTGTTGTACATATTTCCGCGGAACTATATTGTGTACCGAACCTGCATGTGTGTCCCTTTCCCGCACAGATGTGTGGGCGAGGTATAGAAGAAAAAAAAAAAAAAAAAAAGTACCCACAAATAAAAAAGAGCGTGAGAAGAGAGGCCAAGCTATACCACAATATACTTACGTGTATATGGATAAAATGTGTGCCTATAACCCACGTAAACGGTGACGGTCCACTTACGTTTTTTTTTTTTTTTTTTTTTTTTTGCGATAGTGCATGCGTATGGTGCTACATCACATGATACGTGCGAGAGGGTGTATCGAATTTCAGATGGACGGTAAACCCCCGGCCCAATACAGTTGGGTTCAACGGCCGTGATTTTTTTGTTTGCAATTAATTCTTGCGTATTTTTAATAAGACGATCGGGATAAGTAAATTTAAAGTACTCTCGGTGTGTGTTGAAAAAGAGACGATTAGCAGGGAACAATTTCTATTAAAAAAAAAAAAAAAAAAAGGGGGGGCGGGGAAGAAGCAAGAAAGGAAAAACAAGAGCGAGAGACGAAACAATGGCGCGATCTTATCTTTGCTCGCGTGGGTGTGTACCAATAGAGACGCGAGATGCAGAGCAGAGCTGTTTCCGGCTGCTCGAGTGTATGGGTACTACTACAAACAAAAAACAAAGAGAAGCACCGAGAGAAACTTGCCGTCACAATTTTTTTTTTTTTTTTTTCACCCGATAGCTGCACGTGTTTGTATGAAATCTCGCGTATCCCCATTAGGCAGAGACGATTGTTTGGTGTACCTACAAAACCGCGTCATCCGTTCGTGCGATATTCAAATGCGCTTCTATACCGGCGATGAGGTTTTCGGGTATACACTTGGGGGCTCCCCGATCTTTTCCGGGATCGGCCTTCACTTCGGCCGGACAAAGGCTTGGGTATGTGAAAGAAAAAAAAAAAAATCAACGGGTAATGAATAAGCTCGTGGAGAGTAAAAGTGCCGAAAAAACAAAGTGGGACGTGCACAAAAAATACGGGTCCCCCTTGCATTCGTATTTAGGATACAAATAGGATATATATATATATTGTACCTTACGAAAGTGACTCGGAAGCGTTGTATCATCGCTTCTCTCTAAAAAGCTTTTTTTGGGGTATCACGCGGAGCTGTATACCTATGGGTTGGCCCGCGAAGCTCAACTTTGACGTGCAGCGCATCGATTGCCCAATCTCGTCCTAACCAAAGTGCATCTCGACACTGTTATCATTTGTTGTTATATGTCACTGCTAATACATGTTGAAAATTAATGGGGATATACAAGTGAATCAGTAGTTCGGTTAACAAAACAAAAAACAAAAATTGANAAAAAAAAAAAAAAAACGAAACACGATGATGTATCGTGCAAAATAAACATACTTTTGTAACGTATCCCTTGACCGTATGTTTTTTTGTTTGTTTTTGTCCCGCACACCAGGCACAATATTCAAGGCGCACAAGCTCATACTGGCGGCGTGCAGCAAACGCTTCCAGGAGATATTCGAGACGTCGCCGAGCTCGTCGGGTGGCGCGATGATCGTCTACCTCGACCGCACGAGCGCCAGCGACATGGAGGCCCTCCTCGAGTTCATGTACCGCGGCGAGGTACACGTGTCCCAGGAGTCGCTCAACACCTTCCTCAGTGCCGCCGACAACCTGCAGGTAATTAAAAAAAAAACAAAAAAAAAAAAAAAAAAACGACCGATCCACGCAGCCGGCGTGAAAATATCGATGCTCCCCCATAGAGAGAGAGGAGAAACAAAATTTCACCTATATTCGGGAGCGGCGCGCGTGCAATATTTCGCAACGCGGAGAAATCGAAGCGATGTATTCCGGGAACCGAGCGCGTCTTATGGCGTTGCTCATACCTGTATATATGTATATCCACAATTTTTCGGCTCTCGTCTGCTGTTCCCCGAATACATCCTTACCAACCGGAGCACTAGAACCAACGGGACGGGGGGGGGGAAAGGGGTCGCCGAACTTGCACGTTCCGCATCACCATAATATATACTCACACGTGAAATTCTTTGTGTGTGTTTTTTTTTCGCTCCGCAAAGGTAAAGGGCTTGTCGATGGAGCAGTCGAAGCTGGCCGCCCAGCGTGAACAGGACGAGCCGAACAACAACAACAGCAACAACAACAACAGCAGCAACAACAGCGACAACGGGGGCTCGCCACCTGGTGGCGGGGGTGGTAGCAGCGGTGGTGGTAGTAGCGGTGGCAACGGGCCCTCTGGCGGTGGGGGCGGCAACGGACCGGCGACCGGCGGCGGAGCCGGTAACCACCACCACCACCACCATCACCAGCAACAACCTTACACCAGCAGCCATCACCCCAATGGCCATCATCACCATCATCATCAGAACAACAGCAGCAGCAGCAGCAGCAATAATCAGAGCAGTGCCGGCGTTCCCAATGGCCACCTGCATCACAACGGGAGCGCGAGCACGAGCGGCCACTCGACGAGCAGCAGCAGCCCCAGCGGCTGTTGCAACGACAACAACAACGAGCACGCCGCCGAGTCACCGGAGAACCGGCACCTCAAGCGCAGAGCCCCGACGCCCGATCCGCCCTCGCCTGCCCCGGCGACTTATCCTCTCAGCCTCTACTCGACCGCGCACTACTACGACAGCCCGCAGAAGAGGTTAATGAGGTGAGAGAGGGAGAGGCCCTATTGTAGCTGTGATAAAAACAACTTTTACCGCGAGAAACTATTTTTTTTTTTATACATATAGGTATACCCATATATACCTTGTCCTTTTTCGGGTACCGTTACTCGGCTCTATACGCAACAGTTGAGCATTCAAAGCTACCAGAACCGATGAGTTTTTTTTTTTTTTCCCCTCATCTTGTGTTTCCTTTGTTACCTCCACGTTGTCCGGTTTTTTTTGTCTTTCATTCTAACTCGGTCGTATATAACGTTTGAGAAGGATTCCCTCTTGCAGTTTTGAAATTCTCCCGCTTTCTCTCCGTATACCTGTACAAGGATACACCCGAGGGAGAGAAGGCCATCGCGAAAGGGAATCGCTGATGATGAGGTGTTATTACGTCGCCAAGTGGCCAACATATTATTGTTTCCATCGTTTGACCCGCAAAACGAACGAGTGTGTTATTAAGGTGTATAGGTTTAACTTCTCATCATGTATATGTATATATTTATGGTACCGTTTTCCAATAACCCAGTATACACCGATCTGATGACTCACGTTGATAAACCCCCGCGCTTGTATGGCCCCCCCCCCCAAAAA